CGACCCTTCCCGGCCAACCCGTCGCTCCGCATCCTTGACCATGCTTGCGCCGGCCACCATCCTGGCCCTCACCCTGGCCACATCAGGTTCGTAACCCCGCACTTCCTCCGGTGCCAACTGGTGAACTCGTCCATCCCGCACAGCTCACGCCCAGCAGACGAAGCGCCCCGCGCCTATGCGTCCCACCCCGGGCCATGTCGGGTGCAGCGTGCCCCTCATCCCCTTCTCACAAGTTGAGGCCAAAATTAATCTGGCGGGTAATCCTTTTTGTTGTTGGATTTTACTCACGCTGATGCCATTAAAAAGGACAACCAACCATCACGAACGAGTCCGTCACGAACTCGACGGCCCTGTGCGTGCAGATCGGTGAGCAGCTTTTCTTTCGTTTTCCTCGACGGACTTACCAACAAGCGCAACAACAGGAGGAAAATGGGTCCCTAACGCCGCGCTCTCGTGCACCGGCAACTTTTTAAATGTCAACGGGTCGTGGCCTTCTTTCGTCGCGGCGCCTCTGGTGGGGCGTTTGGGCGCCAAAGCGGTGGTCCCCGTGCCGGTTGTGTGCAATGAGGCGGCGGTGAATTCCACGACAGCATCGACAGTGACGTTGTCTAAGTGTCAGGTGCCCGTGGTGTCGCTGGACGTTAAAACAGTTGTTGTTAATGGTAAGCTAAGCGCGAACGGTCGTCGAGACTAATCCTTCGTGTGGAAGTGATGAACTTCACGGTTCCCATCATGAAGTTCACGCGGCAGTGCGTCCAGGTCCAGTTCACAGATGGTTAGGCGTTTCTCCTCTTCTACGCTGTTCCTGTTCTCACGACCATCTAAAGCAATCGTGTACCGAAACAAGTACACTCTCTCGGGAGGGATGTGGTATCAAAACGCAGATCTGGCCTGCGACGCGGACGGCAGCACGCTGAGGATCAACGGCGCTAATTTTGTGCCGGATTTTGGTGCGGAAGGGACGATCCCGACGCAGTGTGGTGGTAGCGGCGTTGCAGGGTTAATGGCGACGACAACGGCGGTGACGGCGCATCAAGCAGCGGCGGGTTGGGCTACGTGGGCGGTTTTGCCAACGACGACGGCTCTGGCGTCATCTTTAACGACGACGATGGCAGCTACACCTTCGACGACAGTTGTCGCGACATCTTTATCGACTGAAAGCGCCACTGACACTTCGCCGACCATGACCACTTCTTCAGCCGAAGCCGCGAATACGACGTTGTCTACTACAAACCCGTTAACCACCAATGTTTCGACAACGACAACGACGACGGCTTTCTCATCGGCCAGCTTGACCGCATTTACGTCGACGGATTTGTTCCTTGCTGGAACCACTGCTACCGTGGCGGCGTTGTCGACGGAGGTTACCAGCAGTTCGACGACGACAGAAAACGGAACGCAGTCGACGACAACTGCATCCGTCATGCCATCCGCCGCACTGGCCAACTCCGCATCCTACACGGACACGACGACGGGCTCAACGGAGACCAGCACGGCGACGACGACAACTATCTCGTCGTACGTTACGACCACGTCTACGGCTACCTCCCTGACAACTGTGTCCACGTCCACGAGTACCTCTACGTCGACAGTTGACACGACGACGGGCTCGACGGAGACTAACACGTTCACAACGACGACTATCTCGTCCTTTTCGCCGACCACGTCGACGGTAACTTCTGAATCAGCTGCGTCCGCGTCTACGACCTCCGTATCCACCGCTGACGTCAGCGGCGCAACGACCACAGCGCCGACCACGTCCACAACAACATCCGTTTCACCAACGACCGCCGTCTCCTCATCGACCACAGACATTGCAACCTCTTCGACGGACACCACCAGTGCCACAACCACCGCCACGAGGTCTGCTACCACCCTTCTCAGCACCGCTACGTCCACCGACACCTCCTCCTTTTCTTCCTCATCCACCTCCTCGATCATTGCCCCCTCCCCCATCTGGACGCGCTATCCTTTCCCAATCCCCACGACGGTCATTGCCCCTTTACGCCCCTATTTCTTCCCAACGCCTCCCGTTCCCAAACCGACAACCTTCCTCGACGTCTCCACGGCCGTCTCAGTCACCACGACGGCAACGTCCATCCGCCCCGCCGTGTTCTTGCCCCCGCCTTCACCGACACCGACTGTCGCGGGGTTGGCGGGCACGGGAAATGTAGCGACGGATGATGGGGACGCGGGTGTACAGACACCGGCGATCGGGGACGCGGGGCAGGCCATAACGCGGGCGGACCCGACGCCTGATATTGGCGGCGCTGTCGTTATCACGGCTGGACCGACGCCGGACATCGGCGACGCCGTGATGATGACGGGAGCTCAGGAGGCCCTGTCGCCAATGGTAAAGACGAAGTCCTTTGCGCCGACGCCGTTCAGGGGGTTGCACCCAGGACCGGCGAAAATCCCGCCGAGCCCGAGGACGCAGGGGCCAGTGACAACGAAGGCGGTGAAAGTGACGTCCTCGAAGCCGACGGTGGCTTTGTCGTATCAACCCGCGACGGCGGCTGCTGTTTGGCAGTCGCCACCGGGGCCGTACCCTCCTAGGATTAATCACGACGTGACGACGACGGCTGCGGCTGCGCCTTCAGTCCCGACCTTGCCTGCTGCTCTCGTGATGTCATCGGTCGCGGTTACAACGTCGCCCGTCGTCACGCCGGTTTTAACGACAGCGGTAGCCGCGTCTACGTCTGCGGTGCCGCCCGTGGTCGCTGCGACACCGTTAACGACGCCTGAGACGATCACCACCCCGGTGGTCATCCCGTCAACGCCACGGACGCAAGAAGTCATCGCGTCACCGCCACCGACGCCGACGGCGCCGACGAGAACATCTTCCTCCGCGGCCGCAACTACCACGTCAGGCGCCGCCTGCGCGCTCGCGGTGTGGAATCACAAAGTTCAATCTACGCTGCTGGTCTTTCCCGGTACGCGTTCCGTCCGTTCTATATTTCTTAACTATGCTAACGTTCAAAACCAGGCCTCCCCGACGCCTACAGCCCCGGTCCTATCACGAACATTACGTCCCTCTGCATCCAAATCTACAGTAAGCTTCATGACTGCCTTTAAATGCGTCATTTTGCAAGGCTCTTACGCTTATGAATGAAAGAAACGGTTTGGTACCCCGTCTCCGCACTCACGTGCACCTCCACTCGGCTCACAATCGATGCCCTCACGCCGCCGTCGTACCTATCCGCAACCGTGCCGGTGGCGTGCGATGACACTCTGACGACGGAGGTCATCGTGCCCCTGACGGCGAGCCAGAGGAGCAAAGAGTGCAGCATACCCATTCAATGGTCAACCATGAGGGCGGGCGTCGTGTACAACCCCAATGGAAGCCCGATCGTCATCACGGGGTATAATAAGAAATGCGTGCAGATTTACTCGCTGGATGAGCCGGATCCGGCCGACAGCGGTATGCAATACTATCGATCCCATAAGCACTAAATGTGATGTACAGGTTATGTGTGGTACCTCAACTCTCAGCTAGCATGCCAGGGCACGGACATGAATATCGAGACGGGTAAGAAGGGGACGTACTGGAAGGTGGCGACGGCTGAGGACGTCCCGGAAGCGTGCTCAATCGAACCTCGGACCGTTTCATCGTCGTTTGCAACAACCACTACTGTAGCAGCGTCCACGAGCTCTATGGCATCGCTTCCCACAACTACGACAACGCTCGCCTCGCTGTCGACTGCCTTTACGTCGACGATTCCACCACCTCCCACCATCACCACAAGTTGGACATCTATCGTGAACACTACCGCCACGTCGACCTCCTCCACCACTCTTCTCTATTCAACTCTAGTCCCCACTACGACCCTCCCTCCGACCGCCTCCATCCCCTCCTTCTTCGCAACCGCTGGCGCCCCTGCCGCCTCCGCCACGTCCACCGCCACTTCGACAGCGACAGCCACTCCGCCATCTTGTGTCGTCCCCCTCGATGGCGGGCCGGCACAGGCGCAGATGACAGGGAAGTTTGCCGCCGATTTAAACATTTCCATGATTGCTTGGAGTCCCAACTGCACGAGAATATCGGCTGGTGGACGTGAGTGTTTAAACCTTTCCCTCACTCCTTTCCCTCTCCCTCCCCCCTCATTTCCGTCCTCGCAAAAATCAACTTCCCCTTTTAACTGACTCCACCAGAATCGTTCTGGCTCCCTACCGACGGTCTCTCGTGCTCCCAATCGGGCCTGATCCTCAACGGCACCTCCATCGTGGCCGTCCGCAACATCGCGGCGACATGCGGCACCATTATCCCTGTCTCCACCTTCAAGGACGACGCCGCGGCGGCCCAGCGCGCGCAGCAGCAGGGCAAGACCGTGACGTGCGCCGTGCCGCTGGATATGAGCTCCGTGGATGCGGTGTTGAGCAGTGGCGGGAATGACAGGGTTGTGACCGTGACGATTATTTCTTGGGTATGCTTGTTGCTTTTCCTTTGCAATTTGGTGCAATGTATACTTATCTCAACGTTGCCAAAACTATCAGACTCCGTATTGCGTCCTGGCAGAATATGAAGGCGGCAAGACGTGGTTCCCTCAGTTTGGGCTATCATGCACGGATCAATTATCGATGGACTACAGCACGGCCTTGAAGTTCGACGCAGCGACGGTGCCAGAAGAGTGTTTAGGGTTGTCAACTTGACCGAGGCCGCCTTCTTATTTGTTTCCATAAGATAATTTATGCAGCATTGGCATTCCCGAGCCCTTTCTCCTTCCCAGGTTGATCTTATCACCTCATTTAAGTCACTTCAACTTTGTTACTATATTACTACTGTTGTATTCTTTTGACTGGCAAAGAAATGGGAAATAAAGCAAAGTCATGGTGGCATAATTACGTAAAAGCAATACATATGACAACACATTTAGGACCGAGAAGGCTGCTGTATTTATGCAGAAGTCTAACATTGGCACTTAGATTGTCGAGCAAAAGACGCGATATATCTCATCCCTATTCATCTTAGGTTCTAGGTTTCATTCCTGTATTATCTTGCGTGCCTCCTGAGTGACTTGAACACCCGGCCTTCTGCTTACGAGGCAGACGCTCTACCGCTGAGCTAAGGAGGCGGATGGCATAATGATGCGCGGACCGGCAACTTCGTTCGAGGAAATGGGAAGGCGTCGCAAGACAACGTGCGCAAGCTGTTGAAACCATTTTCTTTGTGGTCTGCGAAAGCCTGTCGTCAACATGAATACGTCGGATGTAGATCGCTGAAACGTGCGCCGTCCACACGACGTATTTCCGGAATTCCGATGAAGCTCCGAGGCCCCATCAGCCACGACGATCGCCACGCGCCGTGCGTGCCCCTCGGACCTGCTCCATGTTCCAGGTTCCGAGCGCATGCTAAGGTCCCGCCACGCGCGCCACCCCAATTCGGCAGGCCCCGCAACGGCCGCCCACACGCGCACGGCGGGTGTCGGCTGCTGATCTTCTCTTAGCCTGCACCTGGCAGTAGATAAAAAGATCCTCCTCCTCCGTTGGCCCTTCTCGCCCTCGCTAAACCTCATCTTTCGCGCCCGCGACATCCCGATTGCGATGCTTTTTAACACCGTCCTCTTCCTCGCCGCCGTCGCTCTCCGAGTAAATGCGTGGGGCGACACGCTCGGCCATCCCGCAACGGGGGAGCTGGCGCAAACACTTCTGAGCGCGAACGCGAAGAAGATCATCCTGCCGTTGTTGGATTCGACATTCTCCTCCTCCCTCGGCGGCCAGAGTACGTTGACAACCATCGAAGACTAGTGGCATGCAATCTAATCCACGCGGTAATAAAATAGCTTGCAATTGGGCCGACACCTGGCGAACGGCCCACAAGGAGACGGCGCCATTCCACTTCGTCGACATGATGGCCGCCCCTCCCACCTCCTGTGGGTTCAATCCGTCCGATTGTGTGGGCGGGAACTGCATTATCGGGGCCATCACGAACCAAACCGCGATCCTTTTGAGCAACAAGTGTGCCGCGAGCACGGCAACGACGCAAGCTGGTGAGTTATTAGTTGAAGTTGCATTACTCGTATTTGTGTAGCTAACGCCATTCTTTTTCAAAAAAAGTGCAATTCCTCGCCCACTTCCTCGGCGATATTACCCAGCCTTTGCACAACTGCAACAGGGATCTCGGCGGCAATAACGACAAGGTGACCTACAACGGAGCTTCCACGAACTTCCATGCCAGTAAGCATTCCATTCTCTACCCGCTACTTCCCTAACTCTTTTTTTTTTGCCCCCGTTCCAGTCCACGACACCCAAATTCTCGCGACCCGGTCCTCGGAAGTCGGCGCCACGACGGCCGCGTCCTACGCCGCCTTCCTCGCCAAGACGTACGCCTCCAAGTCGTCCGCCTACACGACCTCCTCCTACATCGACATCCACACCTTGACGCCGGAGGGGTTCCTCTCCGCGGCGGTCAATATGGCCAACGACGGCAACGCGCTCGATTGCTCCAAGAGCGCGTTCTGGACCCTGTATGATCAGGACCCGAGCCAGGACTTTAGCGGGAACTACTACACGCAGACAAAGCTGCTCCTAGAGGAGCAGGTCGCGAAAGGCGGGTGGAGGATGGCGGCTTGGTTCAACGCGATAGCGGATGCCTGCTCTGGGACCGCGTCCACCTCCTCCACCTCGTCGTCGACGTCGACCTCCACCTCGACAAAGACGACCTCCACAAAGACCACCTCCACAAAGACCTCAACTACCACGACGTCTATGGCCTGCGCGCACTCGATCTGCGCGACGGGCGCGCCGTTGAAGGCCGGCTGCGATGCGTGCGCGAAGAAGATCATCGCTGCCGACCCTTACTGCGGGAAGACGAAGTGGAGCTACATCTGCGTGGACGAGGTTTCTAGCGTATGTGGGCTGAGCTGTTAGGAAATGGCTGTGGGAGAGTGGAACTGTAGCGCGGGACGCCAGTTAACACATTTTTTTTTTTTTTTTTTGTTCCGTTTTGCCGTGGTGGCCCCCCCGGGTTAATTTGGGTGGCCGCATTGGCATATTAGGGTTGCCATTTAGGTGGGGGTCGGGGTGGGGGGTGGG